CCCCTTCGCCTTCGCTAAATTCGTCCCCACATGCTCCTCTGTGCTGCAGCATCTTCACTGACGCTCTATGCCTCTTCTTTCGCACAGAATTCGTTATACTTCGTTATATTGTCCATAATGAAAGTGTAACTGATTATGACGCAATTGCTGAAACGAAGGGAACCAGCCCGAGAAAACAACAACAGTGCGATGATTGAATTTCGGCGCTCTTCAACCAACTGCGGGTGGGCAGAGCCAACAACACCTCAAAACAATAGAATTGTTGGATTTTTGACCTCAGTCAAATTTCATCCAACATCAAAAATAACGATGTGACATTTTACCTAACATGATGTTTGGCGAAATGTTGGGTAAAATGTTGGATCGTTTGATCAAGGATAAAGCGAATGGGAAGAGAATTCTAGGGGGGCTGCCCGACGAAAGTTCCATTGACTACCAAAATTTTTCCAAGACTAAGGGAAGACTATTATCCGATTGGAGTTGATTATGAAAAAAATTCAAACGTTGGGGATACAGCCCCCTTCCCAGCCCGATGGTTTGTATCCCCTCTAAAGATCACCTTTTGCAAGATTTAAAGTATTAGATGAACAGAATTATATGTAGTTATTTTAAAAAATAATTACCTGTTCTATACTGTTAATTGAATGATTACAAATAAACAAATTATGACACCCATAGTCTTTGTAGCGGCGCTGGTGCACTTGATTTTGGCGCGTGCACCAGTATGGCGACGAGCCTACATTTCTTTCACGCAGTGTTCCACTTTTTAATTTTGGTTGCAAGGGAAGCAAATTGAATAAATCTAAGAACAATTCAAGACATCGTTGAATGGACACACCAAGGTTTCCTTTAAAAGTGAGTAGATCTTTTATCAACTTTTGTTCAAACAAGATAACACGTATTTGCTATTAATGCACCAACTCATGGCGACAGGATTTATACCTGGAAAAAAATTGCGATATCAACTAGAGCTTCACCAGAGGGCTTTGCATCTTTATGGTACACGAGAACTACTTGTAGCATTTCATACTGAAAAGAAAAACACGAAAACTTTCAGAAAACAACACCTGGAAGACGCATTCAATGGTTTGAAATTTTTTAAAAAATCTAAGTAGAATTAAAACTTGAATCGACTTTGGTACAGTTTAGGCGAAAAATATGACAGAGACTATCAAACCTGCTCAAGAAGTCCTTGATAGGCAAAAATCTCTTCTAGCTGTGCATTTTCCTGGAAGACAAAATTAACTTGTGCTGAAAGATAGAAAAGAAAAAGAAAGAGCACACGACATTTGCAAACAAATAGTTCGCTGAAACCATCCAGTGACAATTTATAAGCAAGGATTGAAAAGCAAAAAAACCAATAACGCCTTGCAATTAAAATAGATACTTCTCTGGGATTTCATGTACACACAAATGAAACTGCTAAATTCAAAAAGTGCAATGATAAAATTGAATAAAGAACCTTTATTCCTGCATGAATCATTCCAGTTTTACATCGGTCTTTCAACTGCTCTAAAATCTGTACAGATGGAAAAAAAGGTAAAAAAGTTCAACAGATCCAACTGACAGTGTAAAGTAAAGTAAAAGCCAATTTGTGTTTTATCTCAATCAAATACGGAAAGAGATAGCACATAAAATTGATAAGAAGAAAATTCGCCTTTCCGTCAATAACATCTGATAACAACAATATGCCAGTGCCTGATAATCGCATTCAGCGCGCAACACAGAGTCGCAAATTTGAAGCGTCTTGTTCTACATAGAAGGGGGATATCGGATATATTGTTCCTGATAAAAACAGCTGGACATGAATATTAGTACACAAGAAATTTTTTGATTTTTCATTTAACCTACAGAATCTGGAATCGTTTTTCCTTTTATTGATTAATCAATCAGCCACCTTGAGTAATTTCTAGAGAGTTCATTGTGACCTTTGATCATCAAATAAATAAATAATGATAATAATAATAATGGAAACTTTCATTTTCAATTAAAACTACAATTACAAATTTCACTATTACAAAGGTATTTTGCAATTGGCTAGCCTGGGTTTACAAAGAAAAAGACTATTACAAGCACAAACAAAAGAAATTATAAAAAAAGGAAAAAGTGTGTTCGTCATTGATTGTTTTAGAAGTTGTCAGTAGCAGAGATCGTTAGAATTGAAGAAGTTCAGGATTATTCCAAGACTTATACAGCTAACTGTTGATATATTTCTCGCTCGAGAATTTTTAGGGGAATTGGTTGAATTGATATTGGCCTATACTTTTTGCGCAGTGATTTGCTCCTTGATTTGTGAATTGGTGTTACCCTTTTTCTTTTCCATAAATCTGGTACTTTTCCTGATATGAGAGAGAAGTTCAGCAAATGAGCTAGGTGTGTAGAAATTGAGGATGCGCTAGCCTTGAGTAGTTTGACACTTCTACCATCTAGACCAGCTGACTTTCCATTTTTCAGTTCTCTCATTTTGTTTTGTAACTGTGCATCATTGAAAAAGTCAAACTCGAAAGTTGTATTTGCACAAGTTTGTTGGATAGCTTTCCTTACTCCAGTGAATTTTTCAGCCAGTTTACAGGCTATATTTGCAAAGTACTCATTAAATGTTCGTGAAATTTTTCTGTTACATGTCTCCTCTTTTCCATCAGTCTCGATTCTAATTGGCTGATAAACCTTTGTGTTTTTACAGGGGACACATTCCTTTAATTTCTTCCACATTTCGTTGGGATTTTCCTTTGTATTATCAACTGTTTCATTAAGATAGTTTCTCTTCTCTGTTTTTAGCTTTGTAACTCTATTTCTCAATTTCCTATACTTATTCCATTCCTCTTCCTTTCCAGACCTGGATGCTTTCAATTTAGCTACATCACTTTCTTTAATTAATGCCAAAAGCTTATCTGAAAAAACATTGTTTGTCTTCCCTTTTATTTCTATTTTCTTTGCATGCTTGTCAGCTACTTTCAGAAAAGTGTCAGTGAAACATTTAGCTGCAATGCTGACATCCCTTGTTTGGAAAAGTCATTTCAGTCCTCTTGCGTCAGATCATGGCTAAAAAGATTTTCATCAAATTTCTTGTATGACCTTGTATGAATTATCCTTGGGGGACTTCTGAAATTTTTTCTTTCTCTTATAGCATATGTCATGTAATGGTCACTAATTGATGTTTTTATGACCCCACTGTCCCTCATGCTATTTTCTTCTATAGAAATAATCAGATCAATCAGTGTTGATGAGTGGGAAGTTTCTCTTGTGGAAGACTTTAAAATCTGGGATGCCCCCAGTGTGCTACAGGTATCATTCAATAGGGAGGAGCATATTACAGTTCATGTCGCCGAAGATATGGATTTCTTTTATGGATCTAAATTCTTTCTGCAGTTCATCCAGATATCTGAGGACAGCTTCTGTTGCTTCAATATCCTTTCCATTTTTTGGTGGTCTATCTATGCTCCCTACAATTATTGGACGGCTTCTTTTTAAGCAAAGCTTAACCCATACTGCTTCAATGTCATTCTTTTCCCATTCCTCAAGCTTGTAAGCTTCAAATTTGTCTGATACATAAAGGGCAACTCCTCCTCCATGTTTATCTCTGTCATCCCTGTGTAATATGTAGCCAGGAATCTGTACATCCTCATTCTCAATTCTTTCATCCAATTTTGACTCATTCATACTGAGCGTATCAAAAGCTGGTTTTTCAGCCAAAAGTTATGTGAAATCAAGTTTTGAAAGCAATCAATATATGTTTATATGTAACATCTTCATTTCATTGCTTTCAATAACCTTTGAGAAACAACTTCTGACTGATCAACTTGCCCCAGTGCTCTTTGCTGCCCCAGGTTTTGGTCAAAATTCATTTCATCATTCGCTGTGTTAGTAAATGGGAGATTTCCTGCACAGCAAACATTACAAGTCCAACAGTAATCATCCAGCTTAGAAAGTATTTTGTATTTCTTCTCTGTTATACCTTCACATTTGTCTGTACCCTGCTAATACAGATATTACATGTGAATTTCCTGTGGTTTTTAGCAACGGGCCCGTAAAAGAAACTGCATGGATATTTGACAGCTCCAAGATTTGGACAAACATCGCCACTGAACATGATGGTTATCGTTGCGATGTAAAGTCTAAGAGAACTCTTCGCTTTCAAGTTATTACTTCGCACAAACTTAGGCCTAGGCCTAGCACGGTCGCCATTGTAGCAAGCAGCTGAAATGCTTTCCCAGTATTTCATGGTAGCAAGTAGGCTGAATCTATCAGTATCATTGAAAAAACTCTTCTTGTCAAAACTGTCAAAATAATGGAATTTATGACAAGTAGATGTGTTATATAAAATGAGACAATATGCGAAGCATGTGATCAGAAATCTAAACACAGCCGCCATGTTTCTCTCTTTTGTTAAATTGAATAACACAGTAGTCAAACCCAAATTGAATATTATCCTGAAATACATAGTTAAATTAAGCATACTTTAAAAAGAGTTGGGCATTACCTTATTAAGGAAACCATGAGAAACTAAGTTTTTAACACAAGAAGCAAATTCCAACTGTAAAAGAAAAGTAAATGTTACCGTAAAAACTTGCTATTCTGGGCAGATACATAAATATGGATATTCAGAAATCAGAGAACATAGCACAGAAACAAAACGGTGGTTGACAAAGTATATTTGCAAGAACCCCTCTTCCATACTATTTGACACCACCATTAATCAATACTTAAAACACGTGCATGGAAGCTACTTTTTTCAGCTTGCATTCTTTAGTACGACTTTAGTTTTCTTTACTACTACCTGCGAGACAGTTACTAAAGTAAATGGAAACAGTTCTGTAGCATATCATACTGTCAAAATTAGCTGGCCAGAATGGTAACTTAAACATCGACAAAAAACGCAATATACACTCAAGGAAATGGCAATATTCATAAACAATTTACAACATTCATAAGTCATTTTTTAGAATAAAGTTGAGCAATATAGAAAATGATCCAGGGGACCAAATGAAAAATTAACAAACCTGGAAAAGACATTCGGGATGTTGTGAATACGTTAAAATATACTTGATGCATCTAAGGAGAAAAATTCTCTCCCTGAAGTAGAATGATACCACCTAAAAGAAATAAATGCAGAGCTAAGTAAAAATGACCAGTAGCAGCTTGCGATTATTAAAGAATTTGGCTCTCAGATAAAGTTTAGAATATGGAAGATAATTTGGTTACTTACTTGCAAGACGAGCTCTTCTGGAAAACTGCTTTGCTCCAACTGTCTCTAGAGACAAAACGGTAGCTTGTCTTAATCATGTAAATGATTACGACATGAAGTGGCAAGAATGACAGTTACCACCATTAGCAACTCTGCCTAGACAACAGGCAGTCTACGTCCTTAAAAAAGATTCAAGGTAATGACAATGGTAATGACAACAGTGAAGATTAAAAAAACTGATGGTTGAGCCATCAACGGTTAGCTAGAGTCTCAGGTCGTGGGTAAAAAAGATTTCTAGACATCACAGAAACATGGGGAGGGCATCGCAAACGATGATTTACGCTGAGCTTGGTTGGGAATCCTCAAGTTTCCGACGACGCCTTACCTTGTTTTACAAAATGATGAATAATCTGACACCTGCATACATAAAAGATCCAATCCCCAAAATTCAACGGTCACATTACTTTTTCGCAATTGGGATGCAATTTGACGAATAAGGGCAAGAACAGAAAAGTTCAAGTATAGGTTCTATCCCGATTGCCTTGCTGAATGGAATGAAATAGGTCAGGAGAATAGACTTGCATTAGCAGTTGCTTCCTTTAGGAAAAGTTAATCTCCAAAATCCGTCCTCCTGCTAAATCCGTTTGTTGGATTCATGAACTAATAGGGTTATCTTTATCACCCAACCTAGAGTGGAACTTAGTAAATTTTGTTTTCAAAAATTCAAGCTTAGTTTTAGAGAATCCATAAACCTAATGTGCCTTAACAACGATGGTATTGAGACTGCGGAGCACTTTTTGTTTTTCAGCCCCGCCTTCGTGGTTGAACGTTGAAATCTTTTAAAGTCTAGTGTCTTTGAATTATTACAACTACTTGGATATACCAATATTTCAAAAGGTCAACTTTCATTTTAAGTCAATAAAGAACACCCAAATGACCTCCCAAATATATTCACACAACTTGTAGATTGGATTAAGGTCGCTGTCACTTAACGTCCAAGTCCATTTTTGTAAGTCATTTTCGTATAGTCCGGTGTGTCTGTTTCTTTCTTCGCCTATTTCGCATTTGACGCCAGGCTTATATAGTGTAAATGATTATCCATCAGGACTCCCTACCAATCTTCTCAACCAACTATATATTGGATATAGATATAGACCTGGGCCATTATGGCGTTAAATGTAAAGCTGAGGAATGTCACGCTGTAAAGGGGCTCTTCGTCGAGGTATATTTTACGACCTGTGACAATGTAAAGCAAACTTTCAATCCTGATCTATGTTGCTATGATGGAGCTGTCTTCCATTTATCGAGAGTACTGTCCAGCTATCTAGAAACATTGAACAAGGCCCAAAGTGAAGAAGTATCATGGTTGATTAATACAAATAAATTAATTTTACAAATATAATTAATTCAACAATAAATAATCATAAAGCATTACCTGCAACTGCTTTGAGGTTCCTCGGAATTCTGTCCTTACAAAACTCTGGAATAACTCCTGCGCTTGGATTGCATCAAGATTCTGCCATAAAGCAAGGAAGAATACTTCTCACTGAAAGAAAACTTGACCCAGACCCTTAAGAAATGTTTTTGAGGCGGCTAGATTGCTTTAGTACACACGAGTTTTTGGAAACCATTCGATATATGTGCATAATACGATAAACCTGAAACATCAATATTATTTTGCCCAATGCAATGGTGTCATCACTGGGTAATCTGGATACAAAATTTACACCTTACAGCCCGACGTTAAATGGTTAATGTTAGCCTGCTGGGCGTTTACATGAGGAAAATGAATTTAAGTCTCAGAATGAGTGCTATACACAAAGACGCTCTAACTTATAACGATCAACTTTTTGTACCTGATGAAGCATGTTTACAATTACAACCCTCGCTCTGCAAGAACCATTCAATAAAACCTTCTCATTATTCCCAGTTTGAAAATTTTCAATATTTTGCTTTATATCTTATATTTTCCTTTTCAATTTGATCAGTTTTCATTTGCTCCTGTATCCGAAATGCGCTTTCCAATGAACCAGTTCCCATGGATTGCTCTCAGAATTTATTTCCATGACCTGGTTTTGCAGAAGAAAACTAAATTCTTGCTTTTTTTAAAAAAATGCAGTAGCTACGCTTGTGAGCAGATTCAAGTGGAAAGAAAATCAGCAAATTCCGCAAAATTTGGATGGTGATTTGACATGTAATGCACACAGGGTCCTTTTGCTCCATTTTGCTTATTAGGTAGAATCCGCTCAAAACTTTTCTTAATGTGCCTTTGAAAGCTGTCACCTTGAGCTTTCTTTTTGCTAACACTTATATCGGATGCAAGGCACTTTCAATTCTTTCAAAATGCAAGGCACAACTTTTCAAAGATTCCTTTTAAATGCTTTCAAATTCAAGAAGAGTAGTGCATCATGAAAGGTATTTTTCTGGGTGGCGGGAGGAAACTGAAATGATCAAATAAGAAAATAAATTTATTTACCAGCAATTCACTCAATTTTAGCACCAACTCCAGTCCTTTACTTGGACTTTTCTTCTTTAATTCAAGATAGGATTCTTCACTGGCAATAAAAAGAATTATAAGTACCAGTATGAAAAGGTTGAATAATATGTATGTTTGGTGGTAACTATAATCTGACTTCTGTACTACATATTCATTTTCCTGAAATGGACAAGATCTTTAGTGAGTACACTAACAAAGCCAACACATTATGAGAACAAATTTATTAACACTGTGTTTAAATATAAAGGATTGTTTGGAAGGGTTCTTTTCCCACAAATGCCTCTTTCTGAGTGGGGCGTTTTTTAGTAGGAATGCATGTCTTACTTCGGTTATCAATAAATTAAACAAATTTATACATCATGTCGAAAAGTAAATGTTTCCATGAATGCTGCAGTGCTCAATTCCCCAGTCTGCAAACAGTGATTACGGCAGTGGTGGAATTATGAAGGTGATTGGGAACAACCCTTTGATACGACGTGGGAAATTTACAGGAATCGTAAATTTTTCTACAGGAAACAGAAAAAAAAGACTACACAAACAAAAAACTTATAAAATTCACTGTGCCGCCCTACCTTGAAAAATTAGATTTCTGAAAACCTATGATCAATTTGCTTTTCATAATTTTTGGGGAGGTCAAGAACTAGCACAATTATCATAGCAAGCTACCCCCAGTCAATGTAGAAACACTGATAAATTAGTTCATAGTCTATTATAAACCAATCTATACAAGGTTGTTGGAAAAGGTGAACAAATAAAAGCCATCTAAAGAGTGGCTCATCCCAAGTCATTGCAGTTGAAAACGACCATCATTTGTGATGAGGTCAACCCAGGCTTTTCGTAAGAAATGGCCCACCCGAGTGGCCAAACGCTCGCGTGATTTCTCTTGTGGGAGCGATCGCTCTAAAAATGATAATAATCAACAATGCTAAAAGCGTCCGTAATGTTTATAAAAACCATATAATTCTTTTGTTAAAGGTTATATCAAATGAAAACGAACTGTCACGATGACCTTTAATGTATTCCAAAAAGGATCAAATACCCAATACAAATGTGCTTCATTTATAAACAGTATGTATATCACGAAATATAGACGCTATTGTCTGGCGATCGCAAAATGTTCTTTTTTTTAAAAAACGCTTCAACTGCCCAGAAAATGTTCCTAGTGCTATGGTAGTTCAAATACCAAGTGCCAATAGTATTCCTAAACATTCGCGGTGGAATTGATTATCAAATGCATTTTTTCGTTGAGATGAGGTTGATTCAGCTTACTAATATTTCCTGCATTTTGATATATCGGCTTTGTATTTTCTATATTATTCCTCAAATCCACCGTTTTGCGCGAGCGATCAAACGCTCTCGTGGTCGGGTTTTCGCGAGTGCTGATGCGATCGCGAGTGATCGTCGACAAACGAAAACGAAAAGGACTGTCGTTGTCCACCAAAATTTTTGAATGCAAGGATACGGGACTTGTTCATAAACCTTGGCTTGTTAAAACCCACCATGACTTCCAACAACCAGCTTGATAATGCAAAGTGACTTAAGTTCCATTATCTTTGTTTTTCCTACAAATTGTCTATCATAAAATAATATAACAGTTTTGTTTTTCCACAACAAATCAAATAAATACAGTAATAGATTTCAACCTTTTAAAATAGAAAAACTCAAAAATTATACCTTGCATTCTTAAAAGCAGCAAGACCATTGTGAAATCTCTGCTCGTTATCAACCAACACTTTAGATATTTCTTCCTATGAGTAGAAAATAATTAATTTTCTCCTTCTAAGATCCGTTGCACAAAATAGTTTGAAGATATGAATCGAGATTTTGGTTGCCTGTAACTACCAATTTTGAAAACAGGATTAAGATTCAATTAAGGATAACTTTCTTCACAGATTTACTAGCTATTTACTGTCTGCATGACTTGAATCGTCTTCTTTGTCTAAAGATACCAAGAAGCATTAACATTGTGAAGCAACTTTCAGTTATCAATGACTGTATCAAATACAATTATGTACAAATTCATTTATGGTGCAAAAGTTTCCAATAAAGAAATGAAACAAAACAATAATTATCTGATTCAAAATTTCAAAGAGAATGTAAAATATTTTTCTTCCTGTTGGTAATTTTTTAAAAATTTTAATTGATTCCTTTGTTTCTGCATACTTGATCAGTTTAGATGTAACTATAGAATGTCATTGTCATTTGGAATAATATAATTTTGATATATGATATTTGAGTTTGGATTTACATTTTTAGGAGATGTTCATATCATAAAATGCAAAAAAGGTCTGGTGGATTAAGTAGCAAATCCTTATCCTTTCGTAATGAAACAAAGTGAATCTCAAAAATTTGTTCTTCGTAGGATAACCAATAATCTAACAATTTCCAGATTTCTGACAAAAGCAGGTGTTTTAATATTTGAAAAAGCTATAAATTTCTTTTAAAAGTTGCACCTTTAACAATTCATTTGATTGCCTCAAAACCTTTTGTCACTTTACATGCACAAACAAATTTTAGTTTTGCTTGAATTCAAGGCACAACTTTTCAAAGATTCCTAAAGTTTTCATAATGAATGTAGTAGAATTTAGGCCTAATGTCTTTTTGGGATAAGATGGCAAATAAAATGCTGGCATGGTCAATTAGGATAAAGACAATCAGGATACCTAACACAAATGTCAGGTCTTCCATATTACCTACATTTCTTTCAATATAGAATAATTCTTCTCAAAAGAGCTACATTATCTGACAAAAGAGCTATATTGGAGAGAATCTCACTCCAAGTCAACACTATAAATAGAAAAAAATAAAGATTAAAGTAAAGGAAACAGAAGAAAAGAATAACACAATACTCCCTTTAATGAAATAATTTCAAATGAATTGGGTTTTGCAGTGGGGGGGGGGCAGGCTTCGAAAAAGTATTGAATTTGTCTCCAATAATGGGATCAATCAAACATAGCAAAATTGTACCTAAAAAGGGTTTAAAGTTTTAAGTGACTGCAAGAAAAAATTGAAAGATACATTCTGATGAGCTAATCTTAAATGCATGGTTGCAAAAACTTGCAGCTTTGTCCAAGGCCCTCCGAAACCTCAAGACAGCACTGCCAACATGGCACTAGCAACTACAAGTGCCGATAAAATCAAAGGCAACAATTATTGTGATGCATTGTAGTGAATTTTATAAAATTTCTTTGTTAGTTAAATAATGCTGTCAATAACCCAAACCAACCCCAAGATTGTATTTCTTGGCTGTTCCCCCCAACACAAAGGAAATAAAACTATTAAAAGTGGTACTTACAGGAAGCAAAAGAGAAGATCGCCCAGAGATGATGGACCAAAGTTCTTTGCAGCAACTAAGGAAAAATACTGCTTAGATTACAAAGATTTTTATAAATAAGCAAAAAATTGAATCTATGTTGAAAGTGGAAATAAAATCTAGCTTTTCCACTCTACAGGAGGTGGTGATGTACAGAATGTCATTCCTTGTATAAATACTTTAAGATAAGTTAGGTATTTAAAAAGGTGTGAAGAAGTTATTATACAATCCATGAGATGGTAAATAAGGTACATCTGAGATCTTGCAAAAACCTATCATTTTCTGCATAACTGGGTAAGATAGGCCTGGCTGTTTGGGATGGGCCATCAACTACATAGACCTCAGCAGCATCTTTGGCACTTAGAGCTAAACAATATTTTGTTACATCTTCTAAACATAAAGAACAACACAAAATGTCAATTCTTGCTTGCTCATGTGGTATTTGTTGAATATTTGTGCACAAGGGACCTTTGTTTGAGACAAGCACGTCACATGTACTGACAGGGAGGCCAAAATGAGCAGCACAAGCACTCTTCAAGTTAGGTAGAGTTATTTCATCAAACTCAAATGATACAAATTCGGGTGGCTCAATCGGACAATAGGTTTGCTTGCTGTCGGGTTCTGAAGAAAGCTTCTGGACGACAATCTTGTGTGGGGCAGATCCGAGTTTTTTATTTTTATTTGATGCCTCGTTTTGTTTTATTCTTTTGTTACTCATTACCTTATAAAGTTTTTCCCAAGTATAATGCCTTTTCATGATTAATTCAAATTAAATAGGCTACCACGAGGTATGCGTTCTTCACTGTTAAGTGGCAAGCAAAGCAAAAAGGGTGCAAAAAGCTGCATGGAAATGAGGCGCTTATTCTTGCAAAGCATTGTGGTCTATGAGAACGCTGGGCCGATCATGACATTTAATTTTGAAAATGAAAACGAAAATGTTTCTTTTGACAACTTTCAAACGATTTTCAGAAACAAAAAGAATAAATTCTATTTGAAACTTGGAAATGGAAATGTTTCTTTAATTTTTTTATTATGTTTATTCTGCTTTTTGACAAGTTATTTTAAACTTCAAGAAAATAATTTGAATTTAATGTCAAATTTACCACAAATATCTGTGATTTTTTTATATTTCATAAAATATGTTTCTGTTTTTTGAATGAGAATGCTGGGCCACCATACTAATGTTAATCAAAAATAAATAATGAGCATACTAATCCAGGCATTAGGGCTTAGTTTGAAATTTGTCTTAGCCATGGTTTAAAAGGGCCTATCTACGAATATTTTTTTAAAAGAAGGTGTCTTTTCCATTTTTAAAAAAATTTGTCCACTTGTCTTTAGACTAGCTATGTCTTCACCTCTATTTAATGAGACTACTTCATAGAAAGAGCAAAACATTGTACATCAAATCACACATTTGAAATAAAACATGATATCTGAGACCCAACCAATGCAATTTTATCACATGCATCATTATTACATCATAAAATGCATAAATATTGCATTTTATCACACTTGCATCCTTTGGCTTGCAGCATCATTACATCATTTTGTCGGATAAATTTGCGGCAAAAAAACCTTCGATGTGGTTTTAACAAAGCAGAGATAACAAGAACACATTCTGTTACAGACCAATCAGCAGGTTTGTTTACAAAATGTCATTAGCCAATCACCTGTCTCAGTCCTTTTCGTTTAGCGTGTGCAATCGCACCCGCACACGCCTGCACACGCGCAAGTTCAATTGTGCGTGCTTTTGACACACGCGCAAACAGATGTTTTTGCAGTTTTCTGTTAAAGGGCCTCTCCAGCCAAATTTTGTACTTGCATTTTATTGGCTATTCTTATAATGAAGTTGAGCCTGCTGATCACGAATTCGTTATTTGTTTGTCGATATCTTTTACAGTTTGTGAGATATAAGCTCTTGCATTTCGATAATTGGAATGAATTAACCGACAACAATTTTTCGGTTTGGTGACACTGTGACGCAATTTTGACGTCACAGTGTATTTCGTTAGTCTTGCCTCAAACCGAATCGAACGACGGCGATTCGCAACTAAAGTGATGGTACTCTCAGTTCTGTTCCACCAGCTTTTAGTTTGAGCATTTCAGACACCAATTCTGAAGCCTTTAGTTGTTCATCGTTTCTGGAGAACAACGGAAGTGTCAATTTCGATTAATTATAAGCGAGGGAAGAGCTGGAACAGGAAGCCATAGCTTTATGGGCCTACATAGGTGATCAAAACAAAGTCATGACACAGCATGAACCCATTCCGACACGCAGACTTAGAATGATTGTAAACATTTAATATTTTTCGATCCTAAAAAGCTCCTGCTGTAGATTTGGATGCAGTTATCAACGCGTGACCATGATTCCTTCACGCTTCGGTGGAGGATATACGAAATTCATGGCGAACGAGAGCCGCACATTGTGACGTCAGAATGTCACCAAACTGATTTGGCTTTTGTCTTCTTTTTTCTCGGAAAGGTGCAACTTTAAAGCCTTAGAACTCCTAAACTAATTGGAATTTTGCAAAAACAATGACTTTGTCATAATACACGCACCAGATGCAAACTTTTTAGTAAATAAAAAAAATTTTTTTTTGCTGGAGAGGCCCTTTAACATCAATTTCCCATGGTCTCATGTTTGTTTATCCTTGCCCTTGTTACTTGATTCGCACTTTTGACCACAATATGATTTTTCAAATTTTCGGAAGTGATGTTTGGCTTTTCACGGAATGCTCCTTTCAACTTAGCGTCTGGTCTTTCAGCTAAGACGCCATTAGCATGTTAAGTGTAATAACTGATTTCCTGTCAAAACGTAATTAGGCCCTGAAAGCAAGTAGCTGTTGGAAACAATTTTTACTTGCTCTTGTAACTTTGGAGAGTGACGGCGACTTTTGAAAGATGGCTGCTAAGGGCAACAAAATCTGTTATGTATTGATTTAATTGAGTTTTGCTCTTGCACGTATTCGAGTGGCTTCTCCCTTCTTGCTCCTTTTACCAATTTTATCAAGTTTGTACTTCAAATTTTCTTACAAGTGCGATCGCATGCGCAAATTTGTTTACATGTGCGATTTGCCACACACGTGTAATTTTGCTCACGAAAAGGACTGCTGTCTCCATTTCAAGGTAGATTTTTCAGTGTTCCAAATCAAAACACAGTTGCTGTGGAGCATAACCTAATATACCCCATACTTTGCCTGGGAAAAAAATTTATGTTTTTTTACAAAGAAAATTTTTCAAACTTAGTTTTTAGAGTAATTTTTGGTACAAATCTAGGAGCTCTTAGCAGAAGCACAAACAGTTTGTAAAATATCTGGAGTGAAACATCACCTATTTTAGAGATAGCAAAATGCTGCCAATATACTAAGAGGCAAAACCACTAGTGGCTTGTAAATCTTGTAAACCTCCATGTAAACCTTGGGGCTTGAGCACCCCTTTGAAATTTCACTTAATCCCTTTTGCAGCTTTTTCACACCAAACCTTTTTCGAATTATAATTGGCTTTGTTTGAGGGTGCGTCTTATACATGGTAGCATTGACTGTCCCATCATTTTTCTTTTGAAGGCAAAATGTCATTTCATAGACAAAGGTACTAAGATATTTGAAGCACCCGTACTCTTAATTTAAATAATCGTACTTTTAGCAGAAATTTATTAAAAACATTGGAATTCTCAGCCCCGATAGCAAAATATCTGACAAAAGCTTTTAACTCCCAAATGGTAGGGTTGTACCCTGCAGTCTCTTAATTGGAGGGCCCATCCCTATAATTATTGTGAATGTTGTGATTGAAACAGATGACAGACAAGAACTTTATGGATCTTAAAACCAATAAATGTTAATGATGATTTTGATTATTGTATGATTTCAAACTTTCTACTTGATGATTTTAAAAGTGATAGTTGAACGTAGCTAAATATTTGAAACATTACAGTTTGAACAATTTTCCTCCACAGAGTGAGTGTCTATGGTATTCTTGAGTTCATTCTTTCACTGAAATATACATGCTTTACAAGAACTGAGAAAAGGGACTGCATCTTATACACGGTAAAACACTGTAAAAACTATTTTTTCAGAATTCAAACATGGAATTAAGGGTGCATCTTATGCAAGGATGCAACTTTTACATGGCGAAATAGGGCTTCTTTTCAAATGAAGCCTGGAGTCGAGAGAAGAGAGGAAATTATACAAATTAATAATTAGTGAACAAGAATGTGATTACAGCAGGCATGAAGCCGCATGAAGCCCAGTCAAGTAAAGGTCCGTTTGACAACTAAGCAAAGAGAAAGGGCTTCTAGTTTGAGCATGCAGAAGGTGTTGCAACTAGCTGACAAACAGACCATGTTACCAACTGGCTAAAAATAATAACTTTTGGGTCTTCCTAGGAATAAATTAGCACAAGTGCAGCCCATCCCTTGGCAAAGGCATTCACATAAAAAAGGCAGCTTCTTAGAATGATGAATGTCTGAACATCTGATATCTCACACACAACTTGTACTAAATCTTTATTACATAATTCTTATTATCATGGACTTAAATAGTATAGCCTAAAATGTCAATGTTGCCCAATTTCAGGAATATGGCGAGCTCCTTCATGACCCCTTTACTTTTCTTGCAGAAGACACCAAATTTACGAGTGTAGATCAGAAGATAAAGGGCACAAATCTTGTCTAAACTGGAAAGCCTTTTGTTTAAAAATTTAACTTATTTTTTCATTCGAAAATGGTACTTTAGAAACATGTGCATGTTAACACAGGTCTATGATAAAATGCGACTTAGATTTTACGAGCACCCCAGAAGATGATTGCAAATTGTCGTATAATAATGTTTTCTGCAGCCTCAGATGTAAGAATGAAAGTAAGAAAGATATCAGACTATTGGTAAATATTGAGATTGTATGGTGCAAAACAGATTATACAACAAAGAATGTGTAGTACGTTGATTTTATTAGAAAGCTCTAAAAAGCTGATGAAAGCAATTTCTACTGAAATCATTCCATAAGGGGCGACGTGACTCTAGGCAAGAATAACGGATATAAAATCATTAGCAATCAGCACTTTTAAAATAAAGCCACAAAACAAACTGCTGCAATTAATTATCAACAGTTGCAGTGAATCATCGACTGATCGAATTAATCTAAATAATCGATGTCGCACGCAAGTTTTTACTTACATCATGTTTTCTTTAGAATAATATCTTTCAACAAGCTACAGCATTTTACTTTTCAAGATGGCGCGGGAAAACACGCGCGCTTGGAACACTTGTATGGTATTCAGTATTCATCTAGAGAGATGGCCTCGGTTTGATAAAGAGCAGAGAAAAGATGTCGAGATTTCGATTGATATTCATCAATCTAAATCGAACATGAAAGTTGTATTTCGTTTACACCATGAAGTTGTAGTTTGTCTCCAAATAACACCAAAGTAGGCATAAATTCATGTCCTGGCAAATAAGAGTAGTATTGGAAAATTTGCAAAGATTAGATTTTACAGTGGAATCCCGATCTAACGAACCCCGGATATAGACTGGTTCCATTTCTCTAAAATAGTTCTTAAAAAGAGATCAAGAGGCATTTTCGGGTAGAAGCTGGGATCCAGTTTATTTTGGGTATTTCGACGATGCTGATTACGAATTTGGCGGATCCCAAGCGAAATTCGCTAATTTAAAGGCTTAATTTGCATATTCAAAATGGCTGCCGGTCAAAAAACTTCAAGGTATAACCAAGGGACCCTCCGAACCGCATAAAGTTCTGGCAAATGGTAGAATATAGCAAATAAAGAAAAAGTAAAGAAATTCAAGAATCTTTGTTGCATGCAGCCGATCTTGGTCAGCAACAAATTCTAAGCTTTGTCACGCACAGACTGACACTGTCTGACACAGCCCATGATATCCTTCAACGAACCATTAAAAAGATGCAGAGCGCTTACCTTTCAAAGCCTATATGAAGTTCCAATAAATTTAAAATACAAGGAGAAGCAGACGATTTTCAAGGCCGATCGAAATATTCTCATGCGGCTGATCACTGCTTATGAAGGCAGCCGTGAAGTTGATCTTAAGAGTGTGCCTTCTCATGAATTGATGCCAGTTCCTCATCTCTCACTGAAATGAACTGTTCTCTTCGGACTGGAAGCAAGTCTGTCCTTATTGACAAGCTAACGGATAGCATCAATCGTCCAGAGTATATCGATCTTCATGGAATAACAGCGTGCTTAATCACCGATGGTCAGGCTCTAGTGGTGTTATTAGGCAAACCAAATGGTTGCTCTTCGTTTTGTGATTTAGCAGACACCTTTGTTTCAAATGGGTAAACGCTTCCAAAGATTTAGCAGTGCTTCAAATGGGTAAACGCTACCAGAGAATCGACGTTGTTTTTGACCGCTATAGACAATTATCAATCAAAACTAGTACCAGACTAAGGCGGAAAAAAACTAGCTGGCCTGTTCGCCGAGTTAAAGAGAGCGGTTTGGTACCTCTTCCAAAGTTCTGGTCAAACTTCTTTGCATTGCCAGAAAACAAAGCAGATCTTGCACGATTCCTGTCAGAAGAGTTGCTTCGTCAAGCAACTGAAGATAAAGAAATTGTTACAGCTGGTGGATTTATCAATGAATTGCTTTCCCAGTCATCGAAATACTACACTGATACCTTGACTTTGAGTGCAGACCATGAAGAAGCAGACACCAGACTTGCCCTTCGTGCTATCAATGTCACCTGCAATACAGTAGTAGTTGCTGCTAGAGATGCAGATGTTCTCATCATTCTGGTGTCCCACTTTTAACGAATGCGATGCAATGATCTTTGGATGATGTCTGGAACGTCAAAGAAGAGAAAATATATTCCAGTCAAAGAGATTCTTCACGCCTTGCATGAGGGATCTGTTCAAGCACTCATCCCCTTTCACACTCTTACTGGATGTGATACAACTTCGTACTTGTCTGGGAGTACAAATGGCATCTGCATGGAAAGTTTTTAAAGAGTCTCATGAACTCTTGCAAAACATGGGAGAAGGAGGTATTAGCAAACGGGGTATTATGCGGAAAGCAGAAAATTCTTTTTGCCACGGTTTTGGTGCAGGCCACAAATGAAGCCCGACACGTTCTATTTTTCAAGAAAACAAAACCCGAGGCATTGCCTCCAACAAGTGATGTGGCACATCTTCATATAAGAAGAGCACACTTCCAAGCAATAATATGGAAACAAGCTGGATCACCGCATCAAGACTTACCGTCACCTACAGATTTCGGATGGGAGCTTTCTGAAGATCAATTAAAGCCGATTCTGATGACAGTGAAGCCATCCCTACTGCTTCTCTGGAGATGATCTTTTGTGGATGTAACACACGATGCAGAACTCATATAGCTTAGTTTGCTTTAAGATTTAGATCAGGCACTCCTTCAAATCCTAATGTAGGGTCAAGCTTCACACTGCAGGCCTTGCGCATATCAACATGAGAAGAATCCTCAAGAATTCTTGACAAGTATGAAAGAATTTAAAAATTAGCAAAGAAGTTTTGAGTGAAACTACAACTGTTTTTTTCTTGACAACCCTCAAGAATTATTAGTCAGAAGATAGTGTTAATTTGCGCAAGGCCTGTAATGTAGCAAGTTGTGTGGCATATGCAGCAAAGCTGAAAACAACAAATGCAACTGACCTATAATCGATTAGATTCAAGCTTGGACACACGTTAGAGACCTTCACAAAAATGCAGCATAGTAGAACTGGATATACAAAAGGAACGTGTTCAGCCACTTGAATATTCAATGTTGACATTTCACCCGATTACTACTTGGGGGAAAATTTCATTTGAGAAATGTCATACATGAACTTGTCGTTAGTTCGAAAAATGAAGAACCGAAAGTTTGCCATTTCTCCTAAAATTAAATGGGCTAAATAAAACTGGAAGATTTTATTTTAAATGGTAGACACTAACCAGCTAGAAAACCAAATCAATGAGTTTAATTTTTGCCGGAGGATCATAGATCATCGAGAATGCCATCATTCGACTGATTTCGAAGAGACCTTTGAAATGTTGCATGACCTTTTCAATTTTTGATGGCGTGAATAATTTTTAAGTTAATGACGTCATCATATTTATGACGTCATGTAAATCACAGAAAATGTAATAGATCAACTTTACTAGCCGAAATTGGCTCTCTTTATCTTTAAAAGTAAATTCAAGACATTTTAGAGTATTTGCACCAGTAATTAGGGGTTTAAATGAAACAATGACAAATTGGTGTAAATAAATCATGAATAAGCGATATAGATAATAAGCTTAGATGGAAATCATATCTCTGATTTTTACTTTTTGGTGCATTTTGATACATTCTAGAGACTGTAAAAGGACTTAATAATTAAAGCTGAGATATTACTAATAGTTGGCAAATTCTGCCATTTTCTTCAATTATGACATCATAATGACGTCATGGATGTAATGAAAAATTTAAAAAGTTCCCTGTTGTGTAGATTTTGTTGCTGTACACCATTTTACCAAGTTCTATCCTCATAACAGCAATATTAGTGAATATCCTATTCGAATGCAGTGTCATGGATTTTCTTGGCAGCATTTTGAAGATTTCGACTGGCAGCCATTTTGATATGCAAATTAAGCCCTTAAATGAGCTAATTTCGCTTGGGATCCTCGAAATTCGTAATCAGCATGGTCGAAATACCCAAAATCAACTGGATCCCAGCTTCTACTAAAAAATGCGCCTTGTTTTATAATTTCTTGGAATTGGAACCAGTCTATAGACCAATCAGCGGGTTTGTTTACAAAAAGTCATGGACCAATCACCTGCCTCCATTTCAAGCTGGATTCTTCAATGTTACAATCCAAAACACAGTTGCTGCGGAGAAAAACCTACCCCTATACTTTTGCCTGGGAAAAGATTAACGTTTTTCTACAAAGAAGATTTTTCAAGCTTAGTTTCTAGAGAAATTTTTGGTCCAAATCTAAGAGCCCTAAGCAGAAACACAAAGTGTTTTTAAAATATCTGTAGTGGAACATCACCTTTTTCTTACCTCCAAAGATGCCCAGCCCCTAATTTACCCCTTCATGAGCTTTCGTTAATCAAACAAGGAAACATTCTAAGATTAGATTTATTTTGCGCATCACCTGGAAATATTGTATTTTCTAGAAAAACTTGGCTTTAAAATTGCCTATTCCCTCCTCTACCGCACGGGATGCCTAGGCCCTTTCTGAACTTTCTTCCTAAGCATCACAGTCAATGAAATTCAAACCACTTTTGTTAAGCCATTAGACATTGGTCTATAATTTGAAACCAAAAAAGGCCAAAGTGTTGGTAATAGTTTAAATCTAATAAATTTAATAAACTTTTTAAAAAGTAACAAAGACCCACTTGTTGACAGTCTTGAAGCCTTGAAACCGTAATGAGACTTGCTAAAAGGTTCTTTGATCAAGGCATGATAAATTTAGAAGTCATTTTGCAAAATCATGTTCAGTTGTTGGAAAACCAGTATGATCATATTGGCCTTTATTCTTGTTGCAATTTATATATTCTAAATTCACTCCCCTCACGAAAGTATCCGGAAAGTTTTGGATTTACAATTTACAGATTTGAAGTTGCAAATCTGCTGGTAAATAAATGTGTTTACAACCTTCAAAGCCATTTTATAGGGAAGCCTTTTATGATTAAATTTTCTTGAATTTTTCCTGCAAGTTTCTTTGCCTTTTGAAAATATTTATTCGTCAAATACATTTATTTTATCGATGTGCAAGTAAATGTTGTGAGGGATTTTGTTGAGCTGGTAGCGAAGGAAACGAAAATTGACTTACAACAGCAGCTAGAAATTATCGTTTATCACAATGTTGAAAAAACAATCATAAAATTGCTAACATCACTGGATACACAAAGACCACTTTTCAACATATGTAAAAAAATGTTTGAAAAACAACAAGCGTAAAAGTTTCTGGCGGTCAGAAAGAGCAACGAGTTCAACTTTTCCCGGCTCTTACGGCAGCCTCCCGGTACCGCCGGCAGACAAATTACAAGTGGAAACGCCTTGCCTGCGGCTGCCTGCGGCTGCCTGCGGCATTCTTTTGTTCAAACGGATCATGTGATATGCAAAAACCAATTGAAACAGGGCTTTGTTGTTGAATTTTGCCCGCCAGTTTTTCCCGCTCAAACTTTACCTAGTTACCGGCATAGTTACCGATACCGCAGGCAATTGAAAACAGAACGTTTCCATTTGCCGGCGCTGCTGTAAGGGTGGAAGATGGAAGATGGCAGAAAGCAGTCGCACTCAGTCGAGATTTGCTTTAGTAATTAAAATCTGTGGCTTTATGACCATATTCTAAATGATAGTTCTGCTTTGGAAGAACGTTGCAGAATTGCTAAAATGTTTCCAAATGCTACGCCTTTTTTTAATTGATCCGTGACATCTACATGCAAATTTTTTTCTCAACTGAAAGAAACACTTTGGTTTTGGTTTGATCAAAACTATTTGCGTCTCCAGAAGGAATTTATAACAAATTTCTTTTTTTATTTGTCCATTTGAACGGAATTCTACTCAGCTGACATTACTGTTCTTCGTTGATTTGAAATCGGTTGATTTGCGCAAAGATTTCTTATTTTAACAAAAATAATAATAACAGATGAAAAGAGCAGAAGCTTTGCAACATCTGGACGACAATGAGTCGTTATCGCCAGCTTGAATTTATTTTTGTTCGAAAGGGTTCATGCATTCAAAGAGATAAAATATGGCTTTCATAAAATTGCAGCATTATTTTTCTGTACACTGGAATGAACAATATCGCGCACAATTGTCGAGAATGTTTATACATAGAAAACTTTCATATATCTCAAGCTCCACCTATATAGATCTTTCATTATTTCCCATCTAAACAGTCGTGAACTCTTATACATTTTGTCGCAGGCTTTTTTATAAGATTAGTTAAAAACATTTAGCGGCAGAACTGCCGGTAGTACGAAACATTTTTTAGAAATAAAATTTTCCCACGTGATACCTGGGTGATTTATTTGCGCAAAATATGAATTTACTTAAATCTTGAAATGTTTCCTTGTTTAATTATCGAAAGCTTGATAAGAGTAAATTAGGGGATGGGCATCTTTGGCAGTTGGGGCGAGGTAGGAAATAGGTGATTTTCCACTCCAGATATCTTACAAACCGTTTGTGTTTCTGTTTACAGCTCTTAGATTTGTACGAAAAATTACTCTAGAAATTAAGCTTGAAAAATCTTTTTTATAAAAAAAACGTAAATTTTTCCCCGGCAAATGTAGAGGGGTAGCTTTTTCGGCTAGGCTGCAGTTTAGCGACCCACTTTTTTGTTCCCTGGTCGGAACTTGAATTGAATCGCTACCAGCTACCACAGCCTTGCACGACCTGAGGCTGTACATTACAAGAGTGATCAAGACGAAAAGAAGACAACGTTGTTTATAAGCTCAGTCACAAATTCTCCATTTTTTTTCAACGCTTCGACAATTACACGGGGGTTGACTACCCTCATCTACGAATACTTGAATTTTTTATCAGTTTACACTTTCCCCCATTCGGAGAAAAGCTTGAATAAATTGAACCTGGGGGCTGAGAATCACGTTAAGTGATGTAGGAGGACCCACCATGGTTGGGGCCGAGATGAAAGGAAATTTTTGAAATCATACCTTCTAAATAGCTATAAAAGCATTTCCCTGACCAAGTTTAACAAAATACTATACCGTTAAGGAAAGACAAATCGACGTTTCTAAGAAGAACACAGATTATTGTTTCTGGGAGAAATTGAGAAGGGGAAGAGTCTAGTGACAGATGTTGGGAAAATGCTCAAACGCTAGTGACAGACGTTGGAGACAAGAAAGAAAAGGTGTTTTATATTCGAGAGCAAACATTTTTTTCTTGAAACCATATCGAATTCGAAAAAAAATAAGGATGTATCTAAGAACATTTTCTAAGAACAGTATTTAAGAACTCTAAATGAAAATAATTTTCTCAAAAATATCAAGGCTGGGCAAAATTTACTGCATTCTAATAATAATAGTTTAGTCATTGCTTCTCTCATATCAAATGCAAAAGTACTTCTTTGTTGACATGGTACTTTTACGCAGATTGAAAATTAGCGTAAATTTCGAAAATTAATTTCATTGTTCCTGTGCAATCAAGGAGCTATTATGGAGGTCTTGGTACCGCAATTCGACTAATAGAGGTTCAGAAATTAGGAACTTTAGGACCTAGGTTTTGAGTTAGGATTTTTATAAAAAGGGATGTTTGAAAATATGTGTAATGTGGGTTTGTCGAGATTTATGGCGACTTAAACAATTATTTTCTTACATGTTTTTTGAGATTTATTCAAGGAGTGACCATGTATTAAAAGATTGTCTGTGCTTTTCTGTTTAAATTGACAGAAGTGCTGACAAGCAGCAGGTTGATTCTAAATTTATAACAGCAAGGTTAGTCCCAACGAATGAAGTGAGTGTGAAGACCGTTTTTCTTGGCATCGCCAGCAGTGATTTAGGAGGAGCTGAAGGACTTCTTGATTCATTTATTTCGTGCTTGAAAAGTGTTGGTGTGGAGACAGAGAAGCTTGTTGGAGTCACCACTGATGGAGAAAAAGCAAACACAGGCAAAAACGCAGGATTATGGACATTGCTCAAACAACATATTGGCCGGGATATCTTGACAGCGTGGTGTGTTTGTCATCGTTCAGATTTGGCCCTTGAATCTGTTCAATCTGAGGTCCCTGAACTCCATCTCTGGATGGCTGATGTTCTTGCTCTTTCGACATTCTTCCACTCATCCCCACGTCGCACAAAGTTGCTGCACAAAGAAAATGATCAGGCTCTTGCTTTTCCAAAGCATTTTGAGGTCAGGTTTGCAGAGCACACTTTGAATTTGCTGAAAGCAATTTTGAATAACCTGGAAGCAGCAAGAAGGCTTTGGACAAAAATGACAGATGGAACCATAAATTCGGACAGAAAAGAAAGCTCATCTGCAAAAGGATTTCTTATGAAATGGGGCAATGGCACACAGCAAGTGTGGTTGACCACTGTTATGCATGATCTGTGCAAAATTTTCAAGAACTTACAGAAAATTTTTCAAAAATCTGACCTCATCCTACTGGATGTATTAACAGCCAGGGATGCAGCTATTGTCAACCTGAACGTCATGAAGGAGATGCCAGTGCCTGGTGGGCAGGAAGAGAAATACTTGAAGAACTTAAACTCAAGTAAAGAAAGCAGTGGAGAAAGAAATATCAGAAAAACCAGCCAGGCTCATAGGTTTGTCACATCACTACGCAGAGAAGATGGTCCAATCAGAGTGGAAATTGTTCAATCAGCAATAAACTATCTCGACCAGCGCATGAACATTGAGCAAGATGAAACAATCAACAATTTAAAAAAGATATTGGATGCAAGTTCACCACCACAGATGATAAATGCCAGCAGAGATGTTGTGAGCCAGATATTTGGAGAGGACACGGTTGAAGAGTTTGTCTCTGATGTCTGCATGTAATGGACAAACCTAAGCAAAGTTCAAGTCTATAGCCAGATAGAAGATTCTGGCACACTCTATGCATTGAAGCTGAGAAAAATGACAGAGGCCAGCATTGGTTTGCTCAGAAAATTCCTTGCTTCCTTCCTCACCTTGACACCACATAGCATGGCAACAGAGAGAGCTGTCTCCCATTATAATAATATCAAAATATCCAGCAGAGCATCACTAAAGCCAGAATCAATTAACAGCTACATGCATGTCTCTCTCAATGGCACAGGGACTGCATATTTTGACCCAAGACCTGCAGTTTTCGAATTTCTCAAGAGCAAAGACAGACGTAACAGAGAGCCAAATTCAGAGATCTATAGAGAGAGGGAATTCATTAAAAAGTTCTTTTCGAGTGACTCTGGTTGTCTGTGACGGGACATTCTCTGGACATTAGAAACTTTTTAGAAACTTTTAAATGTTAAACATATTATTAAAGTTTTATTGAATTGTTATTCTTGTTATACTCATTTTCGTAGCTTTATTCTTTTTATACTCATTTTCATTTTTTTGAGTCAAGGGGTCAAGGGCTCTGGTCGCGAAAAAGTGGGCCCTCTTGAGGATTTGGCCCACTAGTCAAATTTCCTTAAAAAATGCCCTGGCTCGAGCAGTAGTCAGATTATTAAAAAAATTATAGAAACAAGGATCATTTTCATGTTTATCCTACTACTTCAATTAAACCATATTTAATTATTGAAAATATTTGATCGCGCTGCAAACCAAGCCTTTCTTCCTAGAAACATGCCTGAAATTTCCACAGAGACAGAAATATTTTTTAATCCTTATCGCTATGGAAATTGCGTGCCAACTGCCGAGCCACATGTTTGCAAATAGCTAGCACATGCTAGCATGGGGGGATGATGAAATCATGGCTTGCTAGCTAGGGGGGTTGAGTCGGTGTAGAGCGGATTCGAGCTGCACTGAGCGGTAGTCAGCCTGCCTATACCAATCAAATCGTCAGAGCCAACCTGGGGGGATGCATACAAATTTTGTTGACAACCAATGAACAACCGAGTTGACTACCGCTCAGATGGGGGGTTGAGTAGTACTGCCGCGCAACACGGCTCAAACGTTACAGAAAGATGGGGGGATGCCTAGATATTCTGCAAACTGTAACTTCAAAGCCGATGTGACCCATTATTTTGTACAGTTATTTTCCCGCACTCTCTATTAATACACAACTAATCGTAGGAATATATTTTAAAAGAATATTAAGACTCAAATATTCTAAAATTTAAGAAGGCATCAGGTTTAAAAGTCAGGCCCACATTATTCGCCAAAAGTATGATTCTTTGTTTAACAAAAGTTGCTCTCAATAATTTCAAATTTTATCTAGCTTTTTAAACTTGTAATTTCCAACAGGTCTGATTTTCATAAGTAATTGTCCGATTAAATGCGAGTTTTAGGCGACACTTCAAAATTCTGCCAAATGTATCGTTTTTTTTAATTCTATGGTGTTCCTCGTCTAAATGCCGTAATTTTTTTACAATATCCATCCTCAGAATATTGAATAAGATTATTTATTTCTTCTCAAGCTTGTTGTAAGGATACATGAAATTTCAGTAAAGCACAGCTTTTCTCTTGAAAATGGTCTACATAAGAAATTATAGAAAGCAATAATCATTTTAGAAAACCGGGTGTGACCAAGAAATGGGTGTGGTCTAAAGGGTGTGGTCAACCCTCTATCTCATTTCGGCGGCAGTCAGATTTTTGGCTGGCTCCGCCACTGGTTTTCAGATAATTGTCATTTTGCTATGGAATGTATTCAGAAGAAAATCTCATTTGACCCCAAGAAAGAATCATCACGTGATTTTTCAGATTTTTTTACATTTCCGACCCCCCACTAACTAGGACCCCCCCCCCCGCTTATTTTTTTTTAAATTTCTGACCCCCCAACTATTATGGCTTCCCTTCTATTAAGGACCTTAGAGTAACTTTAATAAGCATGTGAAAATGATTGGTCGCGTCCCTGTTAAGCTTTTTTTAATTCTACAACTATTACATCAAATTCCTAACTTAACATATTCGTTCCTTATACGGAGGATTGATACTATGAAAAGCGCCAGACGAAAAATCTTTTGCATGCTATACATTGTTTTATTTTTTCAAAGGCATTTCTGGATTTTATTTTACAAAAGAATATCATATCCATTTTACAATGGAGAGAGCTTCTCAAACTCAATTTTTCCTTCAGCTATGCACGAAAAACAGTTTTTGGAAACAGGAACAAATCTAAAAAGAAGTTCACGCAGTAAACCTTGTTGAATTTGCACATGGAGCTATATTTTTATTAACCAAATGTTGAATAGGTAAAAGGCTTCATGAATCCACGTATAAAATCTTTCCTACGCCAAGATTATTATTTGAAAATAATGTTAATCTTTAGGGGTTTCCTCCCGTCTTTCTTCGAGTTTCTTCCGCTTGGCAGCTTGCTTTTCGAGATGCCTTTCAAGTCCATCTAGAAAACCAAAAAATGTTGTTGTTAGTCCAAAATCCAGAATAACATTAAGGTAATTAATTCAGCAGGGGAAGAAGGGTATGTGGATAATCAGTGAAAACTGAAGACTAGCTATCTTAAAATAAATTCAAAGCACAAAAAAGACAGACAAAATACAAACTCAAAGACACGAAAAATAAAAAATGGTCGAATTATTAAGGCTAGCATGCAAAATTCATTTAAAACAAAATGGTTATTTTTTGAGCCAAAAATTCTGTCTACTAAAACGCCAAGATCAAACTTCTAAATTCACAATGACATTGAATACGACCATGTTAATAATGTGATAGCCAGGATAGAAAAATTGCTCGATGGGCAACAGTGTAATACTTGAGGCCAAAAATAAAAAATGTGGAAAATAGAAGACATCGCAACGCACCGAGAAAAAAAACAACAACGAACACAAATAAATCAAAGATAGCTAATATTGCGCCTCGGCATACGGGGCTTCATCTGAGAAAACTCCCGAAGATAGATAAAACTATAACAAATTGGTTATAAGAAAGCTTACCTACATCCTCATGTTAATTTTTAACACGTTTGGTAGCTTCTTTATTTTATCAAACTATTGTAAACAGAGCTTTATCATTAATAGTTAGGTTTATTTTGTTTTTTTTCTGGAACAATCGACAGAATTTAATTAGTTAACTGAATTGTATTCTAAGTTAAATGTGTTTTGAATGAAAAAATATTGAATTGAAAATTATGGTGAAGACAATTGCCGAAGATAAATAAAATCATACCACAAACAGGTCGTGTGAGCAGCGGCCGATAGTTTTTTGTCCTATGACCAGTCATCAGGGGCAGAATAGCTTCCTTGAAGCAATGGCCTTCTTCCTCTTTGTGAATTTGCAAATCTTTAAATATTTTTTCAATAAGCGATTTCCTTGGTGAAAGCAAAACAGTATTAAACTGCATTATATAGTGTATAGTACAGTGTAAAACAGTATTATATATACACATCCTACCACACAATGCCAATGCCACCACACAATGACGCGGCTCAGGACGATGCTCCTCTAACAGCGCATTCCACAACATTCGATATCGAATACGGGACTAACCTGTATCTTTAATCGCTGACAAGTGCGCCCTACATACCGAGCTTCACATCGGTTTGAAAATTCATAAACAACCTTCTTTATTGGTAGGAACGCGATCTTTTTGAATGAACAGAAGCCTGTCCTTAGTACTATCGAAATAAAATAGGGATGTCCTTCTTTTCCTCAGGTCGACTTCCAAACGGAAACTGGTAGAAACTAAGAGCTGGATTTCTTCTATTGCTGAAACAACCTGGCACGCAACACGTGAATCCATCAGCTTTTGATTGCTTCTAAGAAATCTCATCACATAGGCCTACTCTGTTGTCTCTTCTCATATCGCCAGCTTCTGGCTTTTGCTGTAATACAGCGAGTTGCCCAAGGCTAGAATTTTGTAATGAACTAGGGCGATTGCTTGACGGAGTATCTGTATTTGTTTCTTGGGTAATTGAAAAGTTATCCATCTTTTAAATCGTAAATAGCAATATAGTGCGATTGACTGATATTTGCAATGATTTGAAGAGCGCGCCGATTGCCGTGTTGTTGTTAACTACAAGTACCAGAATACACTGCGCTCCGAGCGAATAACGAAAACGGTGAATTAGGATAGATCTTTCAGCGATTTGGACAACAATGCATTGAGGTCGTAGTGGCGGCCATGTTGGTAGACCTCCGCAACAACTGGTAGTCAAAACAATCGAGTGAACATCGAAGCGCGAGGGTTTCTTTTACACAGAGATGGCAAAATACGTCCAAACAATGAGCCAAGAAGCTAAGAAACGCTATGCTGAAAAAACAGCAGTTATTGGAGGGCAAGATCCTTGTTCAATACCAACTTCCGCGTGGAAGGGCGAGCCTGCCGGTGTCATATGCGTTTAGGTAACCTTATGCATTTTGGTCCGGGTACACAAACGCATGACAATTTTGGTTAGGCAAAAACGTACCCATGAACTTAAACAATAGGGTACCAAAACGAATAGTGGAATTTATCATGCAAAACGGTCCGGGTATACAAACGAATGACAATTTTGGTTATGCAAAAACGTACCCAAGCATTCAAACAATAGGGTACCAAAACGAATAGTGGAATTTAGCATGCGAACCGGTTGAATATTCTGGTTCATATTGTTCAGAATGTAAAGAACAATTGAACTATTTTTATAAAAGGAATGCAAATAAGAAGCGGTGCTGTGAATTCCGTTGTTAAGTTTATGCAAAAAAGTACAACATAAATGGCGACTCCAAACTATGCGTGATTGACAAGTGTAAACATTGAACTCTTAAAAACGTGTCAAAACATCGCACAATGATGAAGTCACATGATCTGAAACACATTGCGTTTCACAATGTTACACTTTTACTATGGTACCAAAACGCATATTACACCGGCTTTCCCCCGCTTACATACATCGATATGGTGAAATAACTCGCCCTTGGCCGAAACCCATGCTACTCAATGCAAGATTTTAAAAACTTCAATAGTCTAGGCTCATACGATCGTTTCCTTTCTGGTTTGGTCCGGAAAGTTGAGGTGTTTAAGTTTGATTGTGTTGTCACTAGGCCGATTTCATGCTATGTTGTACGAGCGAAGGGAACCATAGCCAACGATTAAGCGAAGCACCATTAAAGCCCTGGTTTGTCTTCAGAAGATGGATCCGTTGTTGCTGTACATTGTACATGCATGGCTGGACTTGGAGAAACATGTTCTCACGTTGCCTATTCAATGTTTTATGTGGAAGCTGCTGTTCGAATGCGTGAAAAGCAAACCGTGACAGGAGTAGCTGCTTACTGGAAGTTACCTTCAGCTACGTCTCAAGTTGAGTATGCCCCTATCAAAAAGATCAATTTCACATCTTCAAACAGCTTGAAGAAAAGACTTGAAAGAAAGGTTAAAAATTGCAATGAACCATCTGGTCCAGATCAAGCACCGAGCGGTTAGTCAGAGAACGTTACTGATAAAGCAAGTGGTGGACATTTTTCGAAGTTTCTGGAAGAAATTTCCAAAGCAAAGCCTGCATTTTTGTCTGTTCATCCATTCTTTGCTGATGGATATATTCCTGGAACAGTTAAAAAGCAATTCCTATCTCTTCTTACTGAGCTTTATGATCCCACTGCTGAAACATTGTTGTTTGAAGATATATTACAGAGGTGTAAACTTGAAGCTGATAAAATCACAGTTACATAAGATCAAGTAAAAGCAGTGGAAAAAGAAACAAGGGATCAGACAGCTTCCAAAGCTTGGTTTTCCTTCAGAGCTGGCAAGATTACAGCATCAAAGATCAAAGCTGCTGTATCAACACCTTGTGACAAACCATCTCTCAGCTTAATCGAGGCAATTTATAACTGCTGCAACAAGATGACAATGACAATGAGGAAGCTGCTCGGCAAGAATTTATAAAGTAGCAATAAAAAAAGACATAATTCCCTTATTGCGAGAAAAATGTGGTCTTTGTTAAGCAGTGTAAGCGCCTATCTAGGAGCTACACCTGATGGATTGGTTGAATGCTCATGAAATGGATGTGTGCCACGTTGCCTTGAAATAAGATTTCCGTTCAAAATTTGCAATGAAACTTTGAAAGATCCTCTTAAGGACTCTTTTCTAGAAGTAACAAAAGAGGGGCTACAGTTGAAAAGGAGTCATCAATATTACCATCGAGTACAAGCACAGATGGCCCTCACAAATACTAAAGTTTGTGACTTCTTTGTTTGGACCACAGTTAGTTCCCACCTTGAGCAGATTAGCTTTGATAGAGAGTTTTAGAATCAACAAAAAACAAGATGTAAAGCCCTTTTAGAAGACGCTATATTGCCAGAATTGGTAGGAAAGTATTTCAGCTGATTGCCTGTTTATTATAAATAACCAGACATTGTTGCCGAAGAACACAAATACTAACAAATTGTTATGTGCATGTGTATACATAGAGACTTGAAAACTTTAACAAACGATAAAACAAATCTGGAACAAACATGTACTTTTCTAGACTATATTTATTTTGCAGTTCATTGAAGGAGATTTTCTAAAGTTTTTCCTATATAAAAGCCCCTTTATATCATAGTTTGTTCATAGAAATTGTAAACCAGAAATGCTTGGAGGTCTCCACTTTTACTTAAGGTCTTTTACTTTAAGTGTCAATGATGCTAAAATCTGACCCATTTGTATTTTGCATGTTATTGTATTTTGCATAGATAATCACAAATCATATTAACCTTTTTGATGAATTTTGCCTATGCAAAATATGTTCATTAAAGTTGGTATAAGTTTTCCTATCTTTGACAACTACAGCCTTTTAATGGCCATTTCAAAAGATTGCCGCTCCCCCTACCCATGTGTTGAAATAATCAACTTAAAATAAAGAAATATTTTTGCCAAAACAATAGTTAACATGCTTTAATCAAATGGTACAACCGATTGGCATAAATTAGTTAGTGCATAAGCTGCAGTCACTATTTTGTCCAAGACAGGTTTCTCCTGGCCAGTCTTTGTGATCAAAGATTAATTGGTATTGTACTTTGTAGCATAGTTTATTTTTGTCCTAGCAATCCAATTATCCTTTCAACATGAATGCGAAAATTTGCTTGACACTTGTTCTTCTTCGCCACTCAACTGTTTTTCCCCCTTGTAAATGTAGGTATATACAACTTTGCACTTTTCATGCATAAAACTCCATCAATATCAAATCCTCTATCTGCTAAAACAACATCTGGCAATAAATTGTTCAAAAAATTTGAATGAATTGGTACGAATTGAACGAATTGCTCTTCCTCCCCATCCATCTGGTAAAAATGAGATAGAACCTTGTGGAGTAATTCTAATTAAAAACTTAACAGCATTACTATGCTTGTAATTGGGCCATGTTTGAGCCCTTGCATATAAGTTTGATGGGCGCTCTATAAAAACTTCAAAACAGTCGATGATTGAAACAACTTTTTAACCAAAGTTATCTCTAAATACCATTAGCATAGACTTTATAAGGTCTTTCCGTAAAGGCCATAGAATGGTTCCCTTCAGATGAACGTAAAGTAGGTCAATGATCTCTGTAAAGGCTATCGATACAACACAAGTTGACACATTATAGCGGTATATCAAATCCCTTAGTCTGAGACGAGAAAGGGTTATAACAAATTTGTCAAATTTGAATAATGCAGAATTTTGTCGTTCTGTTATTCCAGGGGCAACCAAATTGGCAACATGATGTCCTTTGAAGGCAGACCTGTATAAAAGGTAACTTTAGTTTGATCCTCTAAATTGCTTTCATCTGAAAAAATCTTTGCTGACCGTCATCCTCTTTGCACGATCATATCTACTTTGTACCAAGTCAGTCTCAGCTGTGGCCCCAAACCTTTCATAACCCAAGTTCTTCGTAGGAACCCAGTTGGGATTATTTTCATCAAACAATGAAGCTGGCTTTCCACTTTTGAAATGGGTGCTGCACACTCTCCAGCCATCAACCTTTTTCCAAGAAGCATCCTCTTTATTAATTGCTGCAAACCACAGTCGCCTTCGAAGTTCGCATAATTCTTGTGCTCTGGGTCCTTCGTTCTTTATCAATGCTGGTATTCGGAAAAAGCTCAAGTTTAATCCTTTTCTTTGCTTATTACTACAGGAAACTATACAGCATAATGTAGGCATGACTTTCTTGTATTTGTCGGCAAAGCAGTGGACGAAACGGAGATGCGAAGTGGTAGTGAAGTCACGGTTCGTATGGTTTGACTACCAGTTGTTGCGGAGGTCTACCAACATGGCCGCTACTACGACTGCAATGCATTGTTATCCAAATCGCAAAAAGATCTATTGGGAAAATACTTCAGTTTGCAATGTTTGCGCTCCTTCGTGTCATCTGGTGAATAGCCTATATCTTATCCTATATCTTATCATCAACATCGATTTAGGGGGAAGGGGGCAGAAGCAGTAAACTTCTTTTCATGAAAGGAATGAAAGATATCAAATGCAGCGTAAATAGCCGGGTGTTCCAAATACTTTTAGCAGGCATTGTACTTTAAAGCGACATTCTAGACTGTGCTAATCTAACTATGTATAATCATGTTCAATTTTTAGGCTGAAAGTACCGAATACCGATCTAGATTAAAAAATTTGCTGGCTATAACAGAGTATTAAGTGGGTATAACAAACGTCATTTTGAAATATAAATGCTGAAGACAAAATTACCTAACAGCTGCATCGGTCCAACGGTTTCGAAAACTTCTAGTAGTACTTTCCAGTTGATCTACGATTGAATAACACTTTTAATAAGAAAGAAGAAAATTAATTTCAGTAAACGACGGAAATGCAACAGCAAATTTATACATTAGTTTGTCTTTATTTTCTACAGAAATCGAGTAATGAGGTTCCATACCTGTTTCGAATATCCAGTTGATTTTATCAAATGTGCAATCATACAAAACTAGAGGGACTTCTGTAGAGCAAAAGACAATTCATGTTATCACATACTTTTATAATTATGCTACCACAATCTTAAATTTAAAGTAGAGGCATCCTGTTGGCTTCTCTTCACCTCAAAGCCTGAAAAATTGTTATCTTAGAAGAAGTATGTTGATAGAGCAAAAAAGGTAAGTGATACAAAAGCCATGAAAAGTTTTTCATCGAAGGTCGTAGGAAAATGGAAAGACTACCTGAAGCCATAGAATACTGTGGCTTTTTGGGACAAAACTCGACATCCAAAAGACGGTCAATAACCTGCATTGAGGAGAAAATTAAACACTAATTGGCACTACCAGCATCGAGCAGAGAACCAAATATGCATTTACCAATAAATGAATTACATCTATCATTATTTCAAACTTTTAAACGTAATTAGATTACATTTAAAAACAGTGAACTTGAGCTAGAAGCATATAGCGAAAAGAGTGCTTTTACCACAGATGAATTGCAACACTAGGTTTTAAAAGCACAATACAAGACGAGTGCTTCTAGAGAAGAGTAATACTCAATGACAGAAACGAAATCAAAGGAATTAATAAGTCCTGATGCTGTGTTAGATGCTTTCAAACAAGTTCACGAAACTGACCTCACTACTCTCTAAACGAAGTCCTATTAGAAATAATACAGAGACCATGCATCGCACTTGGTGCCAAAGAAATGCCATTCCACATATAGTAATCTCAAACATTTGGTCTTCTTTGTCAGTTGTAACGCGGGCTCTTAAATTGGAAGCAAAGGAAATATAATAAGGGACAAAAGTAGAACTTCTTATACAACAATACATATTTATCGGCTATTCTACTTTTCTGCTAAGCAACATGAAACTAGTTTGGGATAAATAATCTAAAATTCTGGCTCTCTGGAAAGTACCTACAAATTACGGAAAAAAGGTATATCTCTTTGTCTTCAACGTATATCAATAAAGGCGCATTTTCCTAAACAATCTTAATTCGTAGCCTTACCCATTCTCATCACAGGCGGAAATATTAATTGATTCAATTTTTCTGACAAAATGATTCACATTATTTCCAACATCGACCTGAAAGCAAAGGATTGGCTGATCAATTAAGAAGGAAAAACAAGCAATAATGTATCAAATTTCATAAAATATTCAATTTAGTTCATGAATCATGTTTTGATTTTCTATAAAGGGTCGCTCTTCCATATCAGCTGAGCTGGCCCTTCAACAAAAACATTGGTATTTGCATTTGTTTCTGGTGACGAAAACGTGAAGAAGGCATGAAAACAGCGGAAAAGTTGCATACTTCAGGACTTTTCGTCTGACAATAGATATCAATGTGTGAAACGAAAGGAATGTGAAAGGAAAAAAAGACGGGTTTGATAGGTTCTTTTGCTATTTACCAATCAGCGACCGCTTACCTCTCACCTAGTTAGAGCATTCAAGAGGGAAAACAAACTCTTTCTGTCTACCAAGTCGGGATCCATTGTTCTTATGTAAACAGATTCCAAAACTCCTAAGGCCTGGTTTAAATGTGTGAAGCAAGAGCTGAACCAAGCAAGCGCAGTTAAAATATTTTGGATGAAGCAAGGAATGAAGCAAAATGTGAAGTATACCGTCCACACACACGCAAGCAAATTAATCAAATCTGACGTAAAAGCATAGTTTTCCTCGATCGGCTTCAGGCAAATCATACATAACGAGGTGGTCTATGATATAAATCTAATTGGACGAAGGAGTTTTACTTTCATTAGGATACTTGTAGACCAGGTTAATTTGGAGGTAGGTGTCACCTGAAAGCAAAGAAATTGCTGTGGTTATTTTCAAGTACCCACATACGTTGGGGTTCAGATAAGTGATGGTGAACAGTGAACAATGAACAGTGAACAGTGACCTGCTGGGACCTAAGAGGTGAAAGCGGGGGTTAATGTCTCTGCGGAGGAGAAAGTGGAATATTTCCTTTTGGATACAACACAAGTTACATTATTTGCTTCACAATAGTAGGTAAGGCCATTATTGAGTACCTAAAAAAATTTGGCACTCTTTTCTGGCCACCCTCCTTGAGAATGTTCGATCCTTCAGGTGGTTTGATCCTTCAGTTGGGCTTCCTAGTAGATAGATCATAGTTGGGGTGAATGAGGATTCTGTTGTCAGAGTGAAAAAGAGCTTTACGCTTAGAGCGTTATAGGAACGCTAATATGTTGCAAGAGATGCCGTTGTTCCTATCTTTATCCTTTGACATTCCACCGCTGATGCTACTTCGACGAATCTTATTTAACTTGCAGAGAACACGGAGCCAGTGAGAGAGACAGTGTATTGCTGTATAACTTGATCTGATCTGATCTGATCTGATCTGATCTGATCTGATCTGATCTGATCTGATCTGATCTGATCTGATCTGATCTGATCTGATCTGATCTGAACTGATCTGATCTGATCTGAACTGAACTGAACTGAACTGAACTGAACTGAACTGAACTGAACTGAACTGAACTGAACTGAACTGAACTGAACTGAACTGAACTGAACTGAACTGAACTGAACTGAACTGATCTGATCTGAACTGAACTGAACTGAACTGAACTGAACTTGACTTACGTACATACAAATTAACATACATATATACAGGAATCAAATTGCTGACTAAGGATGAGTTTGGATGATGTAATGGAGAAGGAAAGATCTAGACTTGGGGAGAAATCAGTATGACATAGATGTGTGACATGTGTACAATGGTGAGGGAATGTCCTGTGCTAGGTGATGCCGTGAATGACGTAAGTGGATGTCATGGTGATGGATTATCCATTAAGAAGTAGGAATATGGCCTATTTTACAATATGAAATCGCTACAATAGCTCCCCCCTTAGAATGCAAGCGGTTGTGAAGCATTCGATACATAAGGGAAAAGAACTAAGTATTAACTTAAATATTGTAAATAGATGAATTAGAATATTGCGAATTGCGATAAAAAATTAAGTGTTCGAAATTTAAATGTCCAACTGTTTTAAATACGATGAGAGTTTGTGACGTAGCCGGTGTTTCCTTCTGTTCGTGATTTGGGAGAATTGTGTGAAGTTTTTTCGTTGGATGACCAGGAACCAGTTTGTTGAGGAGGTATTAAGCGATGTTGTTGCGTGGAGGCACTACGGTGAGACGAGTGCTGCGATGCGTTTGAGGGCACTACGGTGAGTCGAGTGCTGCGATGCGTTCAGGGCACTTCGGTGAGTCGAGTGCTGCGATGTGTTGATTGTTTGCCAAGGTTTTATGAATAGGATGACCAAGAACCTTCGAGAAGTTGGATGTGGAAAACTGGAGAGTTCCGTGGTGTTGATGCTGCCAAGATGCATGTGGCGAATTGTGCATAAATTATCAACAATAAAAGAAACATAATGTATACCTCGACAGCTAAGACCACGCAGAACAACATCGCCCCTACCGCCTCCTGACAGGCCGAGCGGCACCCGAGAAACAACCAAACCCCCAAGGAGGGCAGCCCCTGCAAGAATGCAGCCTGCAACCCACCATAGCGGACAGCAGAGCCACCTTTAAATATAATCTAAATTTACAATATAACTTTTACATAATCAAAAATTCCAAAACTTAATATCCTTTTTAGAATATTTTACAGATAGGGACTTTTTTGTATGCAATGGTAAGTCTCTCCAAAGGTTTTGTCCTAGGAAGCTTACCTTTTCTTACCCATAGGCTGTAGTCCTAGGTTTACTTGCATATATGTTGTTCGTAACTCTTAAGTTATAATGCATTTCTCTCTGCACGAAAATTTCTTTCATAAAAGGGGGATTTAGATTCATCGTTGTTCGGTAAATTCCGGTGACAAGCAACTGCAGATTTCGTTCATGAATGGAGATTGAATTATCTGTAATTAACAGTTCTTCAAAACTGGAGGCCTGATCTTGATACGCTATTCGTAGTGCTCTTCCGTGAATGTGATTAATTTTTGCGTAAACATGTTTATCATGAAACATCCAAATCAACGGACAGTAGCTAAACTGAGACATTATAAAGGCTCTCGTGACCATTTTCGTTTTTCTTTGGGCAAATACAGTGAGACCCTTGCAAAAGCATGTAGTTTCTGGCTTGCCTTCATACAAACCGTGTTTAAATGTCGCTTAAAATTGAGCTTTTGGTCAATTACAACGCCTAACAATTTTTCTTCTTTGCTCTCTTTAATGACGGAGGGGCCAACATTCATTGAGATTTCTGTGTCTTTTAACCAAATACTGGGAGGTGGCATTTTTCTTCATTCAATTTCATGAAATTTTCTGCAAACCAATTGCTTAGTTTAACAGTGTCAATTTCTAGCCTTAAGGAAACCCCCTTTAACTCGAAGAGAAAAGTAAATTGTCGTATCATCTGCATAATTATAGATTTCAGTCTCATTCAAGAAAAGGAAAATATCATTGATAAATTTATTAAACAAGAGAGGCCCTAGAACTGATCCTTGAGGGACGCCTAATTTCATTTCTTTCCAAGAGCTGAATGAGCCATTTACTTTGACTCCTTGCCTTCTACCTTCTACGTTAGATAGCTATGCACCATTTGTAGGCATTTGTACTTAAACGGTATGCATTCAATTTAGCAAGCAAAAGTTCGTGGTTGAGATAATCAAAAGCCGTGGATAAGTTCATTAAGACTGCTCCGACAAAGCCTTTGTTGTCTAAGGTTTTCTTACAAGTCTCCACCAATTTTAGCAAAGCATGCTGGGTATTGTAACTCTGTCGATGGCCACAAATTTTAGGTGAGAGAAACTTGTTCTCAAAAGGTAACACTTTATTAGCCAAAAGTCTTTCGAAAACTTTGGAGACAGACGGTAATACTGTTATTGGTCTATAATTTTTTTATGAAATGAGTCACTAATTTTAAAAAAGCGCGCTAACATTCATTTCATCAGGGAAAAAGTTTCCATCCACACTTTTATTGAAGAGGTCTAGCAGGTAGGAGGCAACTATGTAAACATTATCTTAGCGGGAATACTACCAATAGACGAAGCCTTCTTAGCATCGAGGTTATCAACTTGCTCAAGAACCTCTGCAACTGAGGCCTACCTAAAGTTGAAAACCTCAACATTTTTGTCAAAATAATACTAGGATGAGAGCGGTATTTTTCGATGGCAGCAGTGACTGGATCTGAAATCTCATCACCAGTTTATACATTTTCTTTATTGTCTGCAATATTCAAGGATTTAGTGATATTACTGAAATAGTCATTCAATATATAGCCTGAGTTCGCAGACAGAACGAGTTCGCTTTCTATCTTTGACACTTCAACCACATGAGAGGTAAGCCCTCACTGATTGGTCGAACTATTGTCAAGCCAAGGACCGATTGATCTGTAGGGCACAACCCTGGTCATTAAACCATCCTCGCACAATAAAAACTTCAATTTAGATTATCAAAAGAATTTGGAAAGCTATTAATTGAATCCATCTATAAAATATTCTCAACAAACTTATGAGCTTATAAACATTAACAACAATTACTAGCTTTCAAAGAACAACACCGTCCCTTAACAGTATTTTTACATATCTATACAGTTAGGATGTCTGCTTTGATTCAGCTGAAAGGCTATTATACAGTTTTTCACCTCTATAGAAAAAACTCTATGATAATTTCGATCATAAAAATAACAGCGTGAAGAGGAATAATTTCAAAAATTCAGATTAGAACAACTGGAAATTACCTTGCAGAAATTTCGAAAATCGTGCTCACCAAGAAGCTTATCCGAGGCTTTCTGCATAGCCTAAAGTGTAAAAAAACAAAGTTACAAAATGATAGATTTGAAAATCATTAACTCATTGTTCGATAGCAACATACTTTACTTCACGGTCAGTGGTTTTCTTTACTCAAAAAAATAAAATTTTTAAGTTCCCAGCTGAGCATTTATAAAGTTTTTGATAACGTAATTTGCCCCAATGACTAGGCAAATGGCCCTCAAGGCTGAAGAACTCAGCGAATTGTCGCACATTTCCCTTGAGTAGGAAGTTAAACCTTACACATACACTGAAATGCGTTTGACTAGTCGCATGATCAGTACCACGTTAACCGATCTTTTAATTAACGTACAAGAGTCGTTGGAAATGTTGTACTTTGAAATTCTCAGAATTCTGTTTGCTTACCCCATATCTCGGTACGATTTGAGACCACATGTGGCTGAGAAGCTTTTTCGCTGAATAATCTTTATCATAATTTTATACTTGAATTTAAATAGGTTTCCAGTAATTGATTTGTCGTTTTTACTTCATTTACAAAAGCTTAAAAAGTGGCTATATCCACTGCCAATGGCAGACTGGCCCAGGAAGTTTCCCGGTGGGCCCTGCCAAAAGATGACTTTATAATGGAAGTGGCCCTTTATGAAAAGTGCTATTTCAACGGGCCCGAGCCCTAAGAATCAATCAAGAAAATTTATAGACCAATACGGTCAAACTAAGAAGTATAAGATCCTGTACCCTTGGTACCCTAAGCCTCTAAAAATCGAGTCGAACAGTTATAAAGAGGTTTAGTAGGTAAAATTGAAACAAAAACAACTAAAAGATGTTGAAAAAGAGGACAAACAAAGAATGGAAAAGAAGAAAGGAGAAAAAGAGTAGAAACTACCAGCTGGCAACAGCCTCAATGCAAGATTGGATATTAGGTGCAAGTCATCAGCCAGAAACCCCTGAGGGACATTTCAAGGCTTTTTTTGGCATGGTCGTTTCTCATGGACAGCCTGCGCAACCTTTAATCAAGCGACACTGTTGCTAACAGAAGACGACAAATACGAAAAATATATCATTTTACAAAATGTAGCTTTTGCCATAGGGTACTCATTGCAGGGCTCAACATCTTGCGCTTGAATATTCATTCTAAAACTTTGCAAGACCTGATGCAAGCCGAAACTATGGAGTATAATTATTAGACCAAATGCAAGACCAAATGCAAGCCAAAACTATGGAGTATGATCATAACAACATGTTAATGAACATAGCCTGGGATTTTCTGTGGTTTCAAATTGACCAAGGTTCCCGTTATTTTCCCGGTAAGAAATATCATTCCAGTCCCCCCCCCCTGTCTACTGCAGTACCAAACAATATTTAGATTTATAATGCCGTAGCAGAACAGGCATAAAATACTTTATTGCCGTATGGTTCTTCGTTTATTTGTCATGGGGAATAATTCAGGACAAAATGTTCTATCAATAAATCAATCAAGTCACTTCCATTCATCAGTCATGCCAACCAATCAGGCAATGAGTCTGTCATACCATACCAGTCAATCAATCAATCAATCAATCAATCAATCAATCAATCAATCAATCAATCAATCAATCAATCAATCAATCAATCAATCAATCAATCAATCAATCAATTATTACTAAAGCTACGTTACATACAAAAGGTGCAGCTGGTCCCTCTGGAATGAATGCTGATGGATGGCGGAGAATTCTAGTATCCAAAAATTTTGGAAAGACGGGTGAGGAACTGAAAACAGCTTTAGCAAAATTCACACGCATACTGAGCACAAGAGATATCAACAAAGGCTCGATTGAAGCATTTGTTTCCTGTCGCTTGGTCCCTCTTGACAAGAATCCTGGAGTTCGACCAATCGGTATTGGAGAAGTATTGAGAAGGATCATTGGAAAATCAATTATCCGTGTCATTAAGCCTGATATACTCGAGAGTGGAGGATCTCTACAGTTATGCACTGGATTACCTTCAGGCTGCGAGGCTGCTGTACATGCAATGAAAGATATATTTGAAGAGGAAGAAACTGATGGCCTGCTTCTAGTGGATGCATCAAATGCCTTTAATAGCTTAAATAGAGAGGCACTATTGCATAACATAAAATATATATGTCCTCCAATGGCTCAATATGTAAATAACTGCTATGGAAAACCATCTCGTCTCTTTATCACAGGAGGTAAAGAAATACCATCTGCCGAAGGAACGACCCAAGGCGATCCATTTGCTATGCCTGTTTATGCAATTGGAGTTATGCCACTTCTATCATTGATAAAATCAGCTGAAAGCAAGGTAAAGCATGCAGCTTATGCAGATGATCTTGGTGGTGCAGGGACGTTACTTCACTTAAAATCGTGGTGGGAAAATGTTCTGCACTATGGTCCTTTGATTGGTTATCATCCCAATGCATCAAAATCATGGTTGGTAGTGAAAGAAGAGAACTATGAGCAAGCTTGCAAGATCTTTGGCAACACTCAGATCAATATCACAACATCAGGACGAAAATACTTGGGTTCATATATAGGGACGGCCAATGATAAATCAGAATATGCAAACAAAGTAGTGAATGGCTGGATTGAAGAGTTAAAAGTACTATGTAGAATAGCACGCTCAGAGCCGCATGCAGCATAAACTTGTTTTGTTAGTGGATTTCGTCATAGAATAACTTATTTAACTAGAGTCATCCCTGATTTTTGCAAAGCAATTAAACTGCTCGATGCTTACATAAATGAACAGTTTTTACCGGTGCTAACTGAAGGCTATCACTGCTCCGAAATTGAGCGAAAACTAATCAGTCTTCCGGTACGTCTTGGAGGACTTGGTATACCAATAATTTCTGAGATAGCTCATCAAGAATATGCTTTTTCAAAGAGAGTGACCAGTCAGTTATCAATAAATATCAAGCAACAAGCAACTGAATTAAGGCTTAACAACAATGAAATGAAGAAAACGAAGATTGAAATTGCCCATGAAAGAACAAAATCGCATGAGGAGAAACTTGCACTGCTAAGAGAATCTATGGCACTCGATCAACGCAAAGCAAACGAGCTGTCTTGTATGAAAGGTGCGTCTTCATGGCTCACTTCTCTTCCTTTGAAGGCTGAAAATTTTGTTCTCAACAAGCGTGAATTCCACGACGCAATCCGATTAAGATATAGATGGCATCTAAAGTTCATGCCAACTATTTGTGTATGCGGAAAACACTTTTCCGTTGACCATGCGATGTCTTGTCAAAAAGGTGGATACATTCATCATCGACACAATGAAGTACGTGATCTACTCGGCAAGTTAGCAACAGAAATTTCAAATGATGTTAGAATTGAGCCACCTCTACAACATCTCAGTGGTGAAAATCTCCCAAGAAATTCCAACATATCAGAAGAGGCAAGGCTTGACATCAGCATACGTGGCTTCTGGCAGAAGGAACAAAGTGCATTTTTTGATGTAAGGGTATTCAACCCATTCGCACCGTCATACCGAAACCAGAAACTAAACAACACTTTTGCAGGGAATGAAAGAGAGAAGAAACGCGCGTACAGTCAAAGAGTTTTACAAGTTGAGCATGGTTCTTTTACGCCATTGATTTTCGCTCACAGTGGTGGTTCAAGTAGAGAAACTGAAAAGTTTATATCAGTTTTATCAACGAAGATATCAGAGAAACGTGATCTGTCAATTTCACTGGTTACCAATTGGATTCGTACCAAGCTGTCATTTGCACTACTTCGAAGTGCCATACTGTGCATACGCGGTTCCAGAAATAGGCAAACAAAAGTTCAAGTGGACACAGCCAACATAGAAATTGTACAAACAATATCCCGGATTGATTAGTTAAAATTGTTGGGAAAAATAAAAAGATTCAAGTTTTTCAAGTTTTGTTCTAAACATTTGTGAACCGGCGGCCTTTCGGTATATAAACAGCGCCAAATGTTGAATCATTGATGAGAATTTATTTGTTCAAAAAAAAATCAATCAATCAATCAATCAATCAATTCAAAATAAAAGTCTTAGTTGCATCTATTTACCGCAGTTGGATGAATGCTCTTATGATTGGTTTGCAGATACTTTTGCAAGAATTAAAAAAATTGAAAGAAAGACCTCGTAAGTGCTTGCTCACCTCTATATCAAGACTTGATAAAGGAAAAAAATATTTATATGTTCGAGTACAGCAATTGAATCTAAAAGGAAAGGAAGCAAAATAAGTGAATAGGAGCTTTAAAACAACAAGTCGATTCAGGAATCAGAAAATTCAAGTGCAGTTTTGTTAAAAATTAGTTATACGAAGCTTGCAACATAAAACAAACTTAATGAGAGTTATAGATAAAAAAGTAGATATTCTCTAACCTCGCATCAAAATCTTCAGATACTGGCGCCCAAGCCAAAGCCCTGATGTCTTGTGGTAGAACCTGGTTGAGATTCTTAACGTAATGCATTCTGGAGGCTGTGATATTAATGAAAGGTAACATGCATATAAAATGAAAACAGACAACAAGAGATACGGCAGTGCTACTGGTTTACATCTGTATATTTCATCAGGGATGTATAGAGGTGTAACAGATATTCGGGAATGGCAAAAACAATTAAAGAGTGAACAATTTTTTAAAATGGCTTTGAAAAAAAAAAAATATTTTAAAGCATATCTATGGCTTTTTCGTCTGACACTCCTCAGAGTATAAAACGTCAGAATAAGGTTCCAACAGAAATATATCTTCAATTTTGTCTTTCGGATCCTTATTCTGATGTTTTATACTTTAAGGAGTGTCAGGTGAATAAGCTTAAGCATGCTGCTAAATGTTTGTTTTTTCATGCTGCTAAATAACGAGAATCACAAAATGAGCTAAAACAGTAGAACGAACCATAAAAGGCAATTTAAAAAGCTAAAAATTCCGAAAAGAGCATGGCACATCAACATTTCACCATTCCTTAGAAGAAGCATTGCTCGCTTCTCTTCAAACAAGTTTCTTGCTTTGATAAAGCTGGAAATTAGCTTCACAATCAGAAAATTTTTAGCAAACCTAAAATTAACTATTTCTGCCTGAAACATGGAATGCATTTTTGATAAGCAGTAAGCTAGGTGTGATGCAGTTACTCTAAGGTTTCACCAAGGATATTATTTGAAAAATCCGGAAATATATTAATGCAATTGTATTGATATTGCAGTATGTCTGAATTTGCTGCAGGATTAAACCTTGCTGCCTTATTGACCGTAAGTGCCAGAAATACAATTTGAACATTAAACGTTAGAGAGCCATACGACCTACATTTTCGTGGCAATATGGTCTTGAAAAACAATCGAAGAAAATTACACTTTACTTTTATCAACTTTGAGCTGCTTCGAAGACCCTGTCGGCTTCAATTTAATTATGGACATGTTGACAACAACTATGCAAATAAAATAACGTATAATGAAAACCTGTGTTACTTTTTTCGGCTCTGACATTTAATGAAATAACCTAGGGAGAAGAAGGTCAAGTTAAACGCCAAAAAACATTAGATAGGAAAAATTTCCCTGAATCGGATAGATCACTATACTCTAGCTACAGACCATTACCAATACTCTGAACACTATCTTTCTAAATTTTTGAAATGCCTTATGACATGAATTTACGGAATCAGAAATCCAGTGAAAGAAGTTGTAAACAAAGATTAAAAAGGATAGTATAAAGAACACTGGCATAGATTATTATCCAGCTCACAACTTTTCCCCTGTCCACAAAAGTCCGAAAAAGGTTAAAACAAAATCATCCGAAGACAGCTTACACTCAAATACCCTCACAAAGTTAATGTTAAAAACATCCTAACTCCGTTTAGGTTTATAGGTATAAACACTGCTTGTACCAGACGGTCCTAGCATCACCAGTGGCAGCTAACCTATAAGGAGTTACAAAATTGACACTTTTTTCTGGCGTTAATTGATGTGCTGAATAAAATAAGATGCAAAAACAGCTTTGAAAATTACACAAATGCGACTTTTAGACTACGGTACTTGTGGTACATAAAATGAAATGTAGGCCTAGTTTTAAAACTTCACTTCACTTTACAAAGGCTTTATTTATACCTAAGTACTGAGGTACTTATATCTAGGCCACTATTGGTTATCGCACTAAAACTTTAATTGTACAATTGAAATTCTGTTTTCTGGCTAAATCTGACATGCTCAGTTAGATATGGTATATGTCAAGTCTGTGAAACAAAGAAATCAACCATCTAAATACCCTTAAAATTTCTTTTTTGATTTAACTTGATACGCTAAATACTTTGAAAGACCTTCTTGTTTGCTTTTTGCAAGTTGAGCTGTGACTCGCTTGCCACATCTTTTTAGGGCAAGCTCCAACAAGAAAGACTCACAGTCTATGAAAATTGGAAAGGAATGCGAAAGAAATTGCTGAGCATCAACACATAAACTTTACAAGAGATTATGCATTGTTTTCTATAGCAGGCATTTTCATTAAGGGGCAATACCTATATACAAAGGGACTATAGCGTATTACCCCTAAATAAGTATAATCAAATCAACTTTGTTCTGTTTGCAAATCCTCTATCTAATGAATTCTCTTCCCAATTATTAGGGG